GCTGAGATCAAGGCCGCAGCCACGCAGGCACCTTAGGTTCCTGAAAAATTGACCCAGAACCGAACTAATACAGTCCAGAGAAACCGGTCTTCTCCCGGGCGTCCTCAGGTAGCTTCAACCCGCTGTGTGTCCGATTCCTGCGGCCGAAGCTACAGATGGACGCCCACACGGATCAATCCGTGGGCACATTTGCCCTGAAATGCTTTGGAGGCACGCTGGGGTTGCGGATCAGCGCACTTGTCTCCTGTGGGCAGGCGGTGGCGCGCAGGAGACACACGGGGGTGCGCGAGTCCTTCCAGGGATGGGGACGAGTGCCACGGTTTGAATGACTTCTGTGCGGTGAAGGCGGACCTTGGATATGATTTGAAGAGGGAGGAGGGTGAGTGAGGAGTGGGGTCCTACATATGGGTGTGAGGGCTCCGTCTGGTGGTTCATGTGGGGGAGCCACGTGTGCCCAAGGGAGGCGGAGCTGGACCAGATCAGAGAAGCACTGGAGAGAACGGGTCCACATTTAGGGTTTGATTTGAGGATGCTGGACTCCTTAGGTCAGTACTGGGGAAAGCCATACAGTGGATTTTGGCTGGCCCATGACTTTAACCGCCATCCACTCTCTATTCCTGCTTGTCTTCAGTTCGGCATTGCGCTCCCATTCTTTACATATCTGCTGCGAGTCCAAGGGGAGCCTCGTTTTTTAGGGACTGTGAAATAGGCTCACTTTCAGCAGCGGATCAGAGCCTGCCAAACAGACCCAGTAACGCTGTAGAATGCTGTACGGGTCCCGTCCTCTCTCAGCATCCAGCATGGAGTGGTGGGTGTGCAGAGCAAATCCTAAAGGGTTAGACCCTGCGCAGAGCCCCGCCCGCGCGCACGCTCAAGGCAGGCCAGACTTCCTACCTGGTGGTAATGGAGGCTCCACCGGCAGGGGGAGCGAGGCAGGCTGAAGCTGAGGCAGGTCCAGGTGAGGAAGGAAAGCTTCCCGGCGGTGCGAGGCCTGTCCAAGCGCTGCGTCTGGGTACCCGGCCAAGGTGAGCGCGGCGCGTGGCCACGCGGAAGGCGCTTTCTCTCCCAGCGCTATGGCGGGCAGGAGGGGTGGGGCGGCGGCCGGAGAAGAGAAGCGCCGGGGCAGGAGGGCTCCGGGGCGGCTGAGCTTTAAGAGAGGGGGCGAGCCCATTGAGGGAGGAGGTCAGAAGAATGCAGCTCCGGGGTGAGCAGTGGAGGTGGCAGCTCCGCCCATAAATCTCTCACTTCGCGAACTTTGGGCCCCCTTAGCCAGGGCTCTCAAAGGGCCCTATTCTTTGATGGGGTGGGTGAGTATCCACAGAGCATCTGGCGGAGTCAGCTGGGCCAGCGGCCCCCCTCATCCACCACCCTACTGGAGTCTTCCTTCACCCGCGCTTTTACCTGCCCAGCTCCACTTGCAGCGTCCCAGCTTGGTCACCAAGGAGTTAAAAGGGCCTGGGAGAACGCTGTTGCCCACCGTTGCAGGCGTGGAAGTGTCCAGGACCTCAGGACCTGCGCTCTAGAATGCCGACCCAGAGTCTCCACGAAATCGTAGCCCGGATTTTTCACTTACACTTCACCCTCCTTGGTGTTGGCATCACCCAGGGGTGCAATACTTGTGTTGGTCCTCAGGTGTATGCTCAGATCCATGTGAACGGCTCCCTCGGGTGCACAGAACACACCCACGTCCCGTCCCGTGCCCCCCCCCACACACGCTCTGGAGGCCTGCAGCTCTGAGAGTGCCAACAACTGGAGGCAGGAGCCTCACCAGCCACCACTGTGCCCTGCACAGGGACCCAGACACAGCCTGCAGAGCCTAGTGTATCTGAGTACAGAATCCTACTCAGATCCCCTGATAATGTAACCCAACAGAGCACTAGGTACAAATGGGGCCACCCCCCCCACCAAGTCCCATCCCCTTGACCCCCAACTGATCCCTCCCAGCTGAAGTAGATTCCCCATGTCTTGCTGGCTGATCCCAGCCTCACACTCACCCCTCATCTCCCCTCCTCCACTCCCACAGGTCATTGCCACAGCCCCAGAACACCCACTCAAGATCAACAGGACGCCCTGGTAGATGACTTCCGCTGCCCCTAGCAAACTAAAGACCACAGCTGCTTCCCAAGGGTCTTCACACTTGCAGCTTGACATGTTCTCCATCATCGGTCACACACCTGCCCTACACTCCCACCTGGACCTCTGGCCTGAACCATCCCTTCGCCAGAGTCCAGCCTCCCTGTCTCCCAGGCAGTCAGCAACTTCCTCCAGACTCAGGTCTGAGGTTCCTGGATTGTAAAAACCACTGGGAGACACTGCTTGCCTCCCACCCTGCAGGGGCAGAGATGGCACAAAGGGTGGTGGAGACCACGTGAAGGCCTGGGAAGTTCCTGGGAGGCCCAGCAGCTCTGGGCTTCACACTCAGGGTCCGGGAGACCCTGGACAGGAAAGCCATGGTCGTTCTTAGCTGAGCACAGGAGGCCCCTGGGAGGCAGTACATAGGGGGGAGGCATAGGCCTAGTCAGGCCTTGAGGCCCGGAGGCCGCACGCACCATGCCGGCAGGGCCTTCCCTAGCCGCACTGGGCCTGCAAGGGGCAGCGCACGACCCGGCGGCCGGAGCTTCTCCGACGACGTGTCCTCTGCTCCTCCGCTGGCCGAGGCCCCGCCCCCGGCCCTCCCAGAGCCTGGCCGGTAAGCTGGGAGGTCGGAGGAGCGGGCACTGCCCACCCTCCGGATGTATAAGCGTCCTGGTCAGAGGCGGGTGGCGCGCGCGGGTGCGCATGACGCTCGGGTTCCCGGGCTGCGCTGCCTGGGCGGCGTCCCTCGGCTTGGGGTCCCCGGCCACGACAGTGAGCCGACCGAAAGGGGCTGGGGGCTTTTGCTAGGTGGGGGCCTCTACGACTGCTTAGAGGAACGGACGACGTTTTCCTGGGGCTGTTTTCCTAGGGCCAGAGCCCTAGTCGTCCTGTCCTCACCTAGGTTGCAGGGGCAGCCGGGGAGGAGGCAGCAGCGGGAGTGGCCAGGGCAGGGACTGGGCCGGGCCCAGTCGGGCCCGCGGTTCTTCGTCGGTGCCCCGTGCCGCGGGCAGGGCTTGAAGCTCCGATGTACTCGCCTCTCCTCAGGGGCTACAGAAGCCGACAGTCTACAGAGGGAGCCCCTGGCCACGGCTGGAGGAGCTTGGCGGGGGATGTTCGAGGGGCGCTGGGCGCGGAGATCCCGGGCCAGGAGCTTGAAAATCAAGAGGGCACCGAGCTCCCAGGGTTCTCACCCGTCTTGGCCTCTCCACCGGACCAGAGTGGGGGGTCGTGACGCCATAATCTCTTGGGCCTGGGGCCGGCGGCTGTGAGTGGCACCGCAGGCCCCCGCCCCCGGCCCCGTGGGCTGGGCCGGGCGCGGTGCAGCTGGGTGCACGCAGTTGGAGGCGGCGCGGCCAGGCCGCTGGGCGCCTATGGACGCTCGGAGCCCGCTGTCTCCCCGGGCCAGTGCGTTCAGCATTGCCTCTCTGGTTGCAGCCGAGGCCGCAGAGCGTACCACCTACCAGGCGCTGGCCCCAGGCCCCGGGCCCTCCGATCTGGCGAAGCTTCGCCGGCTGCCAGGATCCCAGGCCGGGATGCACTTCAGCACCGTCACTCGGGACATGGAAGGTGAGCCTCCTGGGCGCATCTACACCGACCCGATCTCCAGACCCCTGCGGTGTCTGCTGTGGGGTCCAAGCCAAGCGGGTCTGCAAAGCTGGGGCACAAAATGGGTGAAGGGATCATCGTAGGAGTGAACTCCGATGGCTCCTAGCTGTGACGCCAGGGCAGAGAGGAAGGTTGGGCATGCCGCCTGAGGCCTGTCCGGCCGTTTGTAACCACCAGTCCGAGCCCTGGTTGCAGAGTTGACCCGCAGCTTTAGAAACAGCCCTGGAAGAGGGAGAGTGAAGGTCGGGAAGCAGAAGAAAAGGGGACCCACGAAAGGTGGGCACGGAGGGCTTCGAGCTGCTAAGGGATGAGATTGCACGGGAGTCAGGGAATTAAGAAATGAGAAAGAAATGAAGAAACACGAGAGAAAAAGAACCTGGAAAAGAAAAGGAGAAAGAGAAAAGGCTATAAAGAGGACAAGAACGAAAGATAGGAGGGAAATTTAAGTCAGAAAATGAAGTCATTAAACAAAAATTTTAAAAGACTTCTGTTTTTATTTTTTAAAGAAAAACCAGGAGTAAGAGAGAAGGATATAGAGAAATAAAGCGGGGAAAGCAGGCTTAAAAGAAAGGCAAATGGTAGAAATGCAAGAAGGAAGAAGAAGAAAAAAAAGGAATATAGCAGGGAAAATGAGGAAGAGAGGGAAATAAAACCCGGTAATCTAAGAGAAATGAAGGAAAAAGAGGCAAGAAGGAAAATGCGATTAGGAGGGAAATTTAAATGAGAAAGACAAAGGTACAAGAAAAAAAAGAAGTGGAAGAAGAAAGCCTGGGAGAGAGATCTGCTACGCAGGAGGGCGGCAAAGCCAGGGGCTGCGGACGGGCCCGGCGCTCCGGGAGCCGGTCCGGGCGGTCGGGGGGCCAGGTCCCAGCGAGCCGGCGGGCGGGCGGGCG